GATTTCACCCCTGTATCAAGCGTAATATATACTATTTACTAAGTTGTGTCTGACACAATGATTCAAGACTGAGAAGCCTAGTAAGGGATCTACCTTGCTTAACCAGTACATCACGATTAGCCGCTCTATTTTTCCATGGTGAACTATGATTTACTTACGTCCTGAAGGACATGGCACATCCAAAAAAGATCCTGATTTACTCAAGCGACTAATGTAACCAACTTTAAATTAAAATTATTGAATTATACATAATTTAAACAATGTACAAGGATCTTTTCTAAACTAGTTAAAGATCGATTTGAAACTTTTAATTTCAAAAGAACAGAACGAACCGGGAGGAAAAAAATCGAAGCATGTGCGGTTATGCGGCAAAAATGGCGGTTTATTAACAATAACAAAAACAAGATTTTTTTTTCTATTTACTTTTCACTACCATTAAAATATCGAATTTTCAAGAAAAAACATCTTTGCGCCAGGTAAACGCGGTAAGATATCAATAATTGTGAATTCTAGAAAGCCGATAGTAAATTCGATTACCCCTTTCCCAAATGTAGCCGGGTAATCCCACATTCCAAAGACGGTTTTGATATTAGTAACACTTATATACATTACAAACATAGTACCCGTCAAAAATAATAGGGTTATTTAAAGATGGATCGGCATTTATTCCTAAAATCAATATAGTATCTATGTGAAATGTGTTTGTTTTTTGTTAGTAGGGAAGGTCACATAATACAAGGTCCAATTCAAGGTATAAATTTGCTGAATATAATTGTGTAGACGTAAAGGGGTAGATAAAATGCAGATTATGAGGATATGTACGATCGGTAACGTTTGGCATTTGACTTGAAAATGTTATGGTTGTAATATTCAGGGAAGCATTCTCTCGGGAGACTGTTTTATAAAGTAGCGGCTGTTGTGGGGGGGGATAAATTTGTTCAAATGGAACTTCCTTTTTATCAATGGAAGAAAAAGAGGATTGTTCACTCCTATCCATATGGCATGGTGGATTTTCACTGTAAATGCCTGAGCCGGCGGAACTAGGCAATGTAGTTCGTCCGAACATTTCCCATATGCAAGCTTTGTAGCTTAAAGCGCTGTTTCATGAATTTGCTAGCTTAGGAATTGTGAGCTCAGTCCCGAGGGCGAGTATAACAGATTTATTCAGTGGAAACAGAGCAGTACTAAAAAGAACTAGATATCCGTCGACCTGGACAGCGAAACGAAACAATCATCCCTCATTGGTTAAATAAAGTGTTCAGTTTATAGAAAAGACAGAAAGGCACAATATCGAAAAATTGTAGTAATAACAATGAATAGGAGGACATTATTCTGAATGTAAATAATGATAACTCCTCATCCCAAAATTTCAAACAGAAACTGAGTTTATTCATGTCTGTCTATCAGTGTGTCTGTCTGTCTATCTAATTATTTACATTGAACTAATATCTTAATCTTTGTTGTTATCACAACCTTTTTATTTGTACCCCACCCCCGCTTTTCCCCAAGTTCTCGTTGGCCGGGTAGCATCCAGGGAAGTTCTAAGGGAGTCCATTCTTCTTTTTTTTAACGGAAACTCTGTAATAAAAACAACAAAAATGAGAATATTATTCCGAATGGAAATAACTCCTTATCCCAGAAATTCATAGAGAAAATATGCAAAACTTTGATCTGAACGGGTTACAAAGGGAACAATTTAGAAACTGCTCAGTTATCAACAGCTTCGGAATAAGTTTGGGAGTTTCCTGGAAGTGTCGGATTGATTTCAATTCATTCAGCGTTTTTTAACACAAGAATTGACAAGAGTAATCTATACAAATTTAATCAAATAAATTTATATAAGAATCAAAATCTAGACACTGAATACACATCAGGAAATTTTTACATGTGCCTAATATATTAATTGACAAATAGAATATATTTTTTATTAATTGTCATTACTTGCATTGTCATTTACAAAGATTATAAGTATTAAATTTTTTTTCGGGCTATGGTTTACTTGAGTAGAAAGTCTTTGAAAATCCCTCCCACCCCCGGATTTACGCTTGGTACTCTGGAAGTTTTATATATGAGGATTATTATTGTAATAAGCTTTTTTACATTTCATTTTATTAATTATTCACCTAATACAAGCCACAAGTGTCCCTCAAGTGGTACTGAATGAAGTTTTTGTATGAATGTAAGAGGAGGGGATTAAAAAGTGCGGATTATGAGGATATGTAGGATAGATAACGGTTGATCCTACACTTGAAGAGGTTCAGATTGTAATGATCGGGGAAGCATCCTCTCGGGAGTTTTTCATAAAGTAGCGCTTCTTGGGAAGAATCTGTTCAAAAGGAACTTCATCCTTACAAATGGAATAAACAGGGAATGGGAATGATTCGTCTCCGTGTACATCTGCAGAAGAATTTTCAAAGCTTGGTCAGGTGCAGAATTTTTTTTTTTTTTTTAGTTTTATAACTTTACTAAATTTGGATCTCTGCAAATCAATAAATTTACTTTTTTTACATTCTCCACATGGAAAGATATCTCACCTTGTTAAAATTGTTATCATTTACTCAGCTAAACATAGTCTGGTATAAGGCCACAAACCAGTAATGAACTTTCTACTCTGGAGAAATGACCACCCAGACAGACTCACTGATTCTAACCCCATGGGGATTACCACAACATAAAACAGATTATCACCTACTTCTTGCTATTGTGTTGAGCCAAGCAAAGTGAATTCTAGGATGTACATACAATCAAATACAAGGATGTAGATATCTATAGGAAGTTGTTAAGAGCCATAATCGCCCATATCCTGAAGGGACGCGAAATCAATATGACTTGGTTATCAAAAGGTCTAGTCACGTACGACTTTTTTTCTTTCGTGACTCATAAATACTTATATTATTCCGACCACAGAAATATTTCTTCATTTCTCTCATGCCTTTCCCATCAGTATTTTTTTCTCTCGAACTGCTTAAAATGACCAATGATCTATTTACCATGTGTCGTAAGCACATGTTTCAAAAAGACAAACATCGACGCCGAACCTTTAAAATTAACTTTCCTTTCCATAACTCTACAACAAGCGCAGAAGAATTAACTGATTAAAACGTTTATCTGCCGAGTCCCTTCAAGACGTGAGATATCATGGCTCTCCACGACTTTCTGTCCTTCGTAGACGTTTCTCTTTTTATTCTGCCTCCAACTCCGTTTCTCTCTATTTCCACAAGCTCGTTAGGTATTTTGTTCATTTGTTTCCTTACGCCTCTCGTGCCTTCAATATGCCCTGTGAGTATTAGTCTCCAAGCCCTCTTTCCCTATGTATCCCAGAAATCAACTGTTACTTTCTGATTCTTAGTAAAAGTCCTTTTTTTTGTTTCTGTTTTCCTTGAAACATCCTCCTTGTTAGTTAACATGTTCAGTCCGTTGTATTTCTCAGCATCCTTCTGTAGAACTACATTTCTGTTGCTTCATGTTTCCTCTTCATCTGTGAGGAAACTATACGGCATTCCCTGTAATGTAGGCGTTCAATATTTTTTTCTTCTTTTCTAAGGAAACTTTATTGTTTCACAATACTTTGTTTAGCTTTTGAAATACGGCTGGGTTTCTGCTAAGAGTACCCAGAAAGATTGGAGCGAAATATTGTCGCATTATTCTAACAAGAAATATTCAAGAGGAGACGGGCTGCCTGCAGTTGTCAAAAGTAAATACAAACAGTAAATCGTCCTAGTTACATTTTGTTGTCTGGTACAGGTACATTCTCCCCATCATTTTGTTTGAAGTACGTCCTTGATGTTGCTAAATATATTTATATAAAGTATTTTCAGATTGAATTGCCCTAGTAGAACTGAATGAGGTCCTGGGAGGTGATTAGCACAAACCGATTTCATGAGGATGACCCAACAATATTGCCCCACACACACACCACGCCTCTGCTCTTTCTTGATAAAAAAAAACTAGGTCTAGAGTTATTGGTTTTAGTTTAGTAGCAGAATATATTCTTATGTACTAAATATCTGACCCTTTGTTGTAAATATAAAATACTTTAATTCATGAGAAACTACCAAGTTACTTCTTGTAATCCTTAAAATAACAGTCGTAAAAATAGGTATTTGGTTGATGCTCCAAGAAATAGTGAAGGCTGGACTACCAGGAAAAGATCATTTGCATTATATTTTAAAGGCTTCCTAGAGATCCCTTTTCTTTATCTATTAAATTCCCTACATTCTTGGAAAAGATAATGGAATAGTTTTCATTGCCTTCTTCATGGTTTGGAATTAGTAATTTTTCTTGTCTTAGACTGGTTGCTACACATAGCTACAGAGCCCAGTCTCCTCGACTGTTTAGTCCATAGCATAAAGAATAGATGGATTCATGTATTTCTCAAGATCCTTCATGCGAAATTCGTTTTGCTGATTTCGTTTTCCTCGCCGATAACCGTCACAATACATTCACATAAAACCAGTCGCTAAAACAGGCATTTGGTTGAGGCTATAAGGACCAGAACGTAGTTTCTGTGAGGCCGGCGAGATAATCTTTGGACGTTCTTAAACTTTCTTGGAAGCATATAGAGAAAACATTTTTCATTAGGTACCGTGTCCTTAAAAATTAAATCATTGTTTTAGATTCTTAAAAAAAAAAAAGATTTCTGGAGGGCCATGACCGTCTACATCTCGAAAGAACATGGCATTAAAAAAATTATGAAAATGAACAAAATCATTTTTTTTTTTTTTTTTTTTTTAAACAAATCTAGATAGGTTCGCCTATCGTCCTCCCCAGTCTTTTAAACAGAAGTAAAAAGGTTTATCCCTTATTGTTGTTTTTTTTATTTGGATTCCGATTCCTTCTAAAGTCTTTTCGTTCCTTTTCCACTCTCAGTAATCCCTTGTGTCTTAATGGCATTATCGCCTTGCTTGGGGTGAATTGATTTTTTTAAAAATTTTGGAGTTTTTATACTAGTTTATTAATATTTTCTCTCATACAATGTGATCAATCTAAATCATAGCGGCTTACGGCCATATCATGTTGAAACACCGGTTCTCATACAAACATCGAAGTTAAGCAACATAAAGATTAGTACCGAGATGGATGGCCGCTTGGGAATACCAGGTGCTGTAAGCTTGGATATGCGGGTAGTGTAATGGATAACGACTCGAAATTGGGGAACTGATTTCCAGTTCCAGTCGGGTTTGTGATTTTCACTTACGTGCAAATACCTTTGGAGAAAGGTATAAATCTACCTCTTTTTTCCTTCAGTCATGGGTTAATTAATAGGACTTGTATCACTAAATCATTATCCTCCGCAAAAGATTCTCCTGATGTAAAATATTTTCTGGTTTTAAATAACCTTCAAAAGGTTATTAAACCGTCAAAAACAATAAGTCCGAGGCCTTCAGAAAAAGAAAAAACTTATGGTTCCTTTTCTCTTTTGCCGCCCTAAGTACAGTTGATTGAGCTTAATGCTTTATCCATCAATTGTGGAACCTTTCTTGTGACCAATTCTAGATAACGGAGACTAGGTTAAAAATGTGCATCTTTCTCAACTGACCCTACCTACAGGGGAGATAGATGGAAGACAATCTTATTTTCGATTTTAGCTTCAAGTTGTGCTAAGCAAATTAGCTTCTGAGGTCAAAGCACCGGTTTTTGTTCGACCATCGAAATTAAGCGATGTCGATCCCGGTCAGTTTTTACATCGGGAGCACTTGGGAACAACGTGTACTGTAAGAAACCCTCCTACAATCTGCTTCGCTTTTAAAAAATCCCACAAAGTGTTGTTAAGCCGTAAAAAAAACACAATCAATCACTCTTCCACTGGTATCAGTGATCGATGTTTGAGCCCCAATATAGTCAAGCCTATCCCCACTTTCAAACTGCCGCAGCACAATCTTCCTATTTTTATTAGCTTAGTTTTCAAATATGTTGTGGCATAGTCGATATCTAAGCAGCTTTGACTTTTAAAAATGTTAGGATGAAGAATTTTTAAATAGTTTTGTCAAGGTCACTGTAGACATTTTAAGCGGCTTTTATTTTCTGAAAACTCCAAGACGAAATCTCTTCTCTTCTCCCTCGCCTTAGTTCCTCGGCTTGGATAAAATAAAATAAAAAATAAAAAAACAACAAATACTACATTTGGATACGCTTTGCCGTTCTCAGTGGCTACAACCTTCGTAAACTTTGACTTTTATTTATTATATCTTCTTTTTATCGGACGAAGTGTTCTATTTTACTAGGGTTGCTGCAGACCTTGTGGTCTCGATTTTCCGCTTGCTGTCTTGAAAATAGACAGAGAGTTTAATTTCTCGCGTGAAATCGATACCGTTCCTCTCATCTAAATTTATAATAGATTCTTTTGTAACTTCCACGTAAATCATAAAAAAATGTTCGGTATATTACTGCGAACAGTAATTTTCAGTTTACGGTTGCAATAAATGCAGCCTAATTAAAAATGCTATATTTATTCATATCTCGGTGTTCACCGCTCAGGATGCATGGAATAAATTTATTTTAAACCGCTTTGTAATTCCAAAAGAAGTATTCACTCAGCACAAATTCCCACGGATTATTTGATTTTCTTTAAAAAAAAAAAATATAAATAAATAAACGGAAAAAATTAAGAATCCATGTGCTTGTGTGTATAGCCATTTTGAGAGATACCAAAAATAGTATTTTTTTTTTTTTTTTTACTATTTAATACATTAAAAAATCGAATTTCCTCTCACACACAAATATATATATATATATATATATATATATATATATATATATATATATAGGGGAGAGGAAATAGAATAAAATGTGTATAAAGGTATTTATTTCCCCACACCACCATTGGAACAGAATATGGCACAAGGCGGCGCCTAAAGTGAGATTTTGACACGTAAATTTGAATGAGTAACTAAAATCGCTTACTCTCCTTTATGGGATGTTCCAGGCATCAAGGAGTGATCCTGACACTCCTTCAATAAATGTAATTAGAGATAAGATAGCCTTGAGCTGTTTTTATTATTATTATTTATTTGTCATGAACGTAAGCGATAAATTTTACTTTATCTGATAAATTCAATCTTTACCCATTAGTTTTTGATTGTCTTCAGCTAATTTTAGATCTGTGTCTCTATTTCACCAAATGGCCACATTATATAAAATGTGTGTGTGTATGGGACCGATTGCGTTTTTTTTTGTTTTTTTTTTTTATATGGCTTTCGCCAGTCTATAGGGAGTGGTACCAATTTCTGTTATGACGGGTGGCATTGAATGCCTACTTTATGCGTTTTAGGCAGACCATAAAGTCTGGATAGTTTAAGAGATCATTTACAAAACAATACAATTAATGCATTAGTCGAACCATAATTTCTTTAATTAAAAGAGTAAGCAATTTACTAAGACGAAAATGTCTCGAAGATACGCTCATTACTAAATCAACCATGGTAAATTAGCATCTAGGTCCTTCCAAAATACACACACACACACACACGTATATATATATATATATATATATATATATATATATATATGTGTGTGTGCAAATATATAGAAAAATAGGAAAGAACACGTTAGGTAAATAATCCGGAGTTCTTTAGTATTTTTGTTTTTATTTTTAAAAAAACAGTGCTCCATACAAAAGTAGAGCTTAAATTATAATTATTTTTAAAAAATATGGTTACTTCGCTACATAAGAGTTCTCATGTCTCAAAAACACGAGCCGAAAACCTCAATATAATTATTAAAATTAAATTGAATTAAAGTATCAGGCCCTGTTTCATCCTAAATTTTCGCTTGAGGATGAAACAGGGCCTGATACTTTAATTCAATTTAATTTTAATAATTATATTGAGGTTTTGGGCTCTCGTTTTTGAAACATGAGAACTCTTATGTAGCGAAGGAATCATTCTTTTTTTTTTTTTTTAAGTAATTATATAATTTGTGTTTGTATGTTAGGATACGGAGAAATAGGAGAGGTTTATAGATTTAACATGTTTCGCTTTTATTTATGCTTCATCAGAAATTTTTGAAAATGAGTTATGTTTTTTTTTTCATTTTTCAGGCAGCCATGTGCCTTATGGTTTTAATGTGTACACAAAAAATACCTGCTAGTATCCAAACGTACATGCAAACACACACACACACACACTCATTAAGACGACAAAACAGTCTCTCCTCTGTGATTGTATTTCTTTCCCGCCAATTATGGGTAAATAGAAGGACAGACTGGATCCTATAGCCTTGATTGGTAACCAGTCTAGAAAACAACTCTGAAGTGAGTCTGAAAACCTCTATCTATGGGTTAAATAGCATTAACAACCCGCACTTGGCCACCAAGTGTGATGAGTCCGACTACACACCTGAAGACCTGGTCAATCTAAGGGGAGTGAGAATGGCATTTGGTGTTCCAAAGTGAAGAAAAATAATAAAATCTTTTAAATGTTTTACTTTTGGCACAGAGCCACAAGTACAGGTACTCAGTGAGAATCGATCTCACGACGGAGTAAAAATGGTCTACCAGACTAACTCATTAACCATTACATTACGCCGAGGCAACCAATGCTGAATAGTTTCAGTGTCTGTGTACTTAATATAAACTACCATATCTCTCTCTCTCTCTCTCTCTCTCTCTCTCTCTCTCTTTCATATATCTTTGGGGGGTGTTGGGCCATGTAAACATATAATACAAGAAAAGCAAATCTATAGTAAAAAATAAACTGCCATGATTGGAAATGAAAACTGTTTTATGAGTGATTTTAAGTTACGGTTACTGAATTGTATGTATTAAAGCGAAACTTTGCCACAGTGTGTTAACTCCTCAGTCAGCGTTCTATTTCTGTGATCAGGGGCTAGACAAAACTTACCTGTGTAAATATTTACATCCCCACTCAATGCTCCGTAACCATTGTAAATATTCGGTGTGTGCTAAAAGTTTCCTACGGAGTAAGAAAAAAAAGTTTTTCAATTGTGTATTCATTGTCTTTTACATAGAAGCATGCTGGTAATTTTTTTTCACACACCTCATATCTGATTCTGATTCCACGAAGCAGCTGTTCGAGTGGAACTTACATCTCACCAACAGAATACAAATGGAATAAAGGCGGTTCGCTACAATGTACGTGGCATGGCTCTGAAGGTTAAAACTGATGGAACTAAGGAACGTAGTTCGTTTGAGCACTTTTCATGGAAATAGCGATAGAGTTTGTGTGGAATATGAGCTGTAGGCTGGAAAATTATTTCTCACCTACAAGGGCGCGGAGACGCTTTTGGACTCAAATTCAACTCTAGAAAGTTGAGACTGGGGCAGCTGCTTGTCATATATGGCTACAGTACTTCATTTCCGGCCTGATTTGTTTCTTGTAAAGGTACAAAATAGCAGAAAGACTAAATTACTGGAACAGTAGATAGAACCGACCCTTTTTCTAGCATCTCCAGCAATGGATTTTGAGAAAATGCATGAAAGAGCAAGTGCTATAAAGACAAAGGGTCGCAGGTATTGCCGAGAGAAATAAAAGAAAGAATGGAAGAATCATGATCACCAACATCCTTGAAGGAACATGGCATATATAAAGATTCTAGATTGCTCTAATGTAACCTACTCTAAATGAAAATTATTGAACTGGATTTTTTTTCCAATAATTAAGGATATTCTCCGAGCCTAGTTGAAGATCGATTTTAAACTTTTGACTTCAATAAGGAAAGAACCTACTTGGGGGAAAAATCGAGGCATATGCGGCTATGTAGCAAAAAAGAGAACGAAAACAAGATTTTTTTTTTCTATATTTATTTTGTTTTTGTTTATTTATTTAATTTGCTGACATTAAAATATTGAATTTTTATGAACAAAAACTATGCACCAGGTACGTAAAACATGTTAAAGACAGGAAGATATCAATAATTTTAATTGAAACTAGGTTATATTAACCAGGTGGATAAAGATTTTTTTACCTAATTTTTGATTAATCAAAACAAAGGAAATCATTATACTCGATCAGTAACAAAAAGAAAGGCTTCTACGGAAAATAGATTATCCACATGTCCATTCGAGCGGAATATAGTGCAATGGCGTGTTTTAAAATGAGTCCCACGTCTCTATCAATTTATGCTAAAAGTTAGTTTCATATTGCTACTACC